TCTCGTACCACTACGTTACTATGGAAAAATACAATAAACATCAATATACCAATGCAGGCATAAATAAACCTGTGACCTGTGACTTATTAGAAAGTGCTAGTCAATGAAGTATGTAAATAAATAGAAATATTTTTTTTTACCGCCATCTATTTACATTTTCTCATATCATACAGGATAATAATGTGCGTCAAACTTTGGTAGTAACCAACCCGGGTTTGTGTTTCATCCCCTTACGAAGTTTATTCACCACCCCCTAGATGGCGTAAAAATGACATTATCTATTAAATAAAACTTGATAATAGAGATATATTTTAAAAAATAAATAGAAAATGATCACTTGATGGAACCATTAGACTATCTTTTAAAGTTACTTCATATATACTTATTAAATGTATGTATGTATAGTTATAGGCTATCTATTATCTCGCTACGTCCAGAGCACTTATGTATATATGGAAGCTTTTTTGATTCTAGTCTTACTATAATATAGTAAATGCATATTTGGTAAAAATTATAATGTCTATGAGGATAGCTTTTAAATGTAGGGCTTTGAAATTAGACGTATTGTTACACTTTAAAATAATATCGATTATTAATTATATAGAAATAAGATTTATACAGTATGTGTATTATAAAATAAATATTTGAGTCTATAAGTTGTCATTAAGATATAAAATATTTCTTTCAGTATTCTTAAGTTGTCATCTTGAGTGGAAAAAGGGCGGGAAAAGCGTTGTGTTTTGTTTTGTAATTTAACGAAATTCATTTTTGTAATGTTTTTTGAGGCGTTACTCTGACTCTGTAGAAAATAATAAAGAATGTAAAATGTACCATTGCACCTATTACTTGGCCTGTCTTACCTACTTCTGAAATATTCCCAACCGTATAGAAAAGGGTTTAGGAAAGGAAACCTTGATACAAGCAAGGAAAACGTTTGATAGCAATTTTAGATTTTAGATTTTAAATACCTGACTAAGACAAGACGTCTACTACTACGTTCTACAATAGTTGAAGAATATAAATCTAAAAAAATATATTGAATTAAACAAAGCGACTTATAATATTTTTTATACCAACCCAACAGAAAATATTTTTTTTATTTTTAAAATACCTCAATACAATCAACATATGAAATATTAAACTTTGCAGGTACAGGAGCGTAGATTAAAATAAAAGACACACATAATTCTCAAACGTTAGTTATTTATAAAAGTAATTACAAATAAAATTCAACATATTGATGCAAATCAAAATATATTAACTCTAAAATCCATTTATATTACTTAAAACGAGATAGAATGCTTGGCACATTTTCGTTTTTTAGGACGGCGCTAACTAGAACACAACATAATATTGCCTTAAAACATTCTCATATAAATCTCTTTGAAAATAATATATAGTTTTGCGATATATGCTATGAGCTTAGCGATATGACTTCATACAATCACCATCGTTAGTAGATAACTAAAATGTACATATTCTGTAAAGTACATATGAAAGCGATAAGTCACGTGGTCAAGATTAGTTAGTAGATATACTATTAGCGATAATGAAAGTAGAAAGTCACTTTGCTTAGCTCTTAATTTAGTAATAGCACAATATATTTTAAATAACTTGTAAACTCAAAGATTAAATACCGCCATTACATTGACTATATTAGTTTATGTATAGTGACAAAATATATGAGTACATACATACATACATATACAAACTATATAATACATATTATATATTAGGCTTATCGATGACTATTTAGAACATAAATAAATAATCCTAAATATCTTCAGAATGAAAATCTTCAAAAATAAATTAAAATATAAAAAAATAACCAACCATTCCCTTCCACAACATACGAGTACCATAACATAATTTTACTTCTTACTTTTCATTTACAATTCAATGAACTTTTTTAAAGCTTTGATTAATAAAAATAATTTGGCCACGATGAGAATGTATAGGTAGCCTATTTTTTTAAACAAATTAAATTAATAATTATGATTTTTCTAGAATGTAAGTCCAATAATAATAGGTACTATATCCTAAATTAGAGTTTGTGACGAAATGTTTCCATATTACCTAAACAAAAAAGGCAGTGGAAGCCCAGTGGTAATACGCTTACTTGGGAATAAAGCACTTTCAAACCCGGGTCTTGCACCTCTGATATTTTCATGTGCGAAATTTCCAACATACCACTAGTCTTACGTTAAAGGAAAACATCGTGAGGAAACTGCATGTCTGAGAGAGCTTAGCGAGCTTTCGAAAGACATGTGAAGTCTGCCCGCACCAGCGCGGTGGACTATGGCCTGATACCCCTTTTATTCAGGAGAAGCCCGCTTCCAACAATTCAGCATTCAGCCCTTATGTACGTACGTACCAAAATTCCTAAGGTTCAAGAACCAAATCTAACATCTCCACCATACATTTAAATAAACCATCTATTATTAATGTTGATGTAATCTAAAAAATCAAGATTCACCATTAGCTTTATGGCCAGTATATTTTACTTCGTATGTATTGTTAATGATTCTAACCTAAAACTAACAAAGTTCTTCAAATGACCGGTCATATGTAGGCGTTGATTTAACGTTTTTCATTCAATAGCATCCAAAATAAAAACATTTAAACCTAACTATAGCAAAAATATATAAAACATACATATATCATACAATACTCTCTGTCTGTACGTACATAGTACCTAACTAAAAATTTCATAATGCGATTATATAACTACAATTATTGCAAAAAAATCTCCTTTCGTATAGTTTTCCCAAATCAAACAAAAATTTCCAATAATCTGAGAAACCATATTAATCATATTAATTTAGGAACGCACAATAATTAATTTCTGTCTCCTTATATCCCATATCACCTAATAACATTAATTTATATGAAAAGTCGAGTGCAATTAGTCATTATAAATGAAAAATGACGGAACTCAGTTATAATGAATTGATTTGAATATTTTTTTCTTGGGTTTTTAATACTATAAACTACTAGTAAACTAAAAAGTTTACCCATTAAAAATTACCGCTCTTTTTAAAATCCGTAAATTAAAAACATGAAATTTTCTAGAAATCTCCACAAAAAACACAATTATCGGATTTTTAAATATTTGCACACGACTAGAACGCTGTCTTAAAAAAACGAATAGCTTATTGGCAAAGTGTGTTTTAAATTATTTAAAATCTAAAAATATCGATAGTTATACACAAAAAATATAAAGGATCAAGTTATCTTGAGTCAAGTAACGACTCAAGAAAAAAAAAACAATTTATCCAAAATCATGCTTTCATAGATTTAAGCGAATTTTTCGCGGATTTATTTTGTTTCCTGACATTTTGAATGCTTTAATAATATCTATATATAGTGTATATACAGTAGATACGGTCTGTAAAAACTATGTAATAACTTTTGAGGCATGTATATTGTATAAACTTACTCTTTTCTGTGACCATGTTTAGTGTAACTTTGGAACAAAATCAAAATAAGTCTGAGAAAAAAACCTAAAGGTTGTTTTATTTAAAATTAGTAACCCAATGTAAATCTATACATATAATAAAATTCTGAGTCGAATCTGTACATTAAATATTTTTTGGAAAATCTTATTGAAATACCAATTATTATCGATACAGAGGCCGAATCAATAGTTTTTAGAATTTCTGTCAGTCTGTCTGAGAACGCATCACGAGAAAACCACTGGACAAATTTTGATGAAATTTGGTATGATTATAGCTAATTATCCGGATCAACATATAGGATACTTTTTATTTTACGGGCAAATATTTCATTTCTGAGAAATATATATACTAAACGTTAAAACGTAACTAGGAACGAACCCGCGGTGAGTCGCTAGTAAATAATATTACTCTGACATTGACTAACTGACAAACAACGTATGATCTAAGCAGAGAAGCATGATAGTTTGCACAAGGGTTCGTATTGTAACAAATATTTTTGATTAATCCCTTTGCTGATATGGGAACAAAGTCTTTAAACCTTTTTAAGCTATGTATATGGAAATTGATTTTTAATTATTTTTTTAAATAATATATGTATTTCTTTACTTTGAAGCTAAAAAATATTAATTTAATAAACATAATAAGAGATGACAATGTTAAGAAGATAACCTTCATTTTTAATGAGATAAAATTATTTTAATAAAAAAATAAAACATTTTAATCTACAAATACACACTTTGTCCGTGAAGTCATTATATATCAGTAAATCAGTTTAGTACATTAGGCTATGTAGACTACGATAGTAATACTAAAGTGGGTTTTAAGCAATCACTGAATATGAAAGACTGGCAAAATATCCATAGTATATAAGATAATTTATATAACATTATGTTAATAACAGTCATAAAACCTAGCTTTTAAAATGTCGAAAATTTTCTTCCCGTATTACACTTTCTACCTGTACTTTACGAACATCAAACCTGTAACTTCCGCCACAATTATCATTATCAATTACTACTGTGTCACATGTTTATGATGCTATCCTTTTAAATTGTCATTTGCCACCCTTTCTTATTGAGTAAGTGTCTTGATACGAGTATTTCCTATCTAAATACATCAATAGCGAAGTAAAATCAACATAGATATACAAACTACGTAGAATTTCTAATATAGCAACATTTAACAACTCAAATGATGGACAAACGGAAAACAGTCCAATAGAAAGAAGCTTACGCAATAACTACCACATACTAAGAAAATTTTACAAAAATTACATCCTATGTCTTGTGATACCTGATATTGTAAAGTATTTCTCGATTAAAAATAATGAAATCGTTCTACTTTGAAAATTTATCAATAAAAATAGCAATTCCTATAAATGTTCAAAACATTGATTTTTAGGGTTATGTTTAAACTTCCATTAAAACAAATATCACTTTCCAAAAATTTTCTATTACATTATCCGATACCGCAGAGTCCTGCCAAAAATTTAAATCAAACGTTTTTAATCACATTATTTACAATAAAATGGAGTTAAAATTAACTTGTGCTATCAGACTTCCCCGATTCACTCTCTTCAGTTATCGTTATCATCGGGGGACTATCGTAACTTTCTCCAGGAGATATTTCGTTATTAAATTTTTCAAATTTAGGTGATCCAGTGTGTATGGCATCCTTCACAGACTCATACATATCTGTTGTTATAACCGGTAACGAGGCTCTCTTCCCTTTCATATCTTTTGGATGATCTTCGGTAATAGTTTCCATGATCTTAACATCGACGTCGTCTTGTTTCACTGGTACACTATCAGCTCTGCTTATATGTTTAACTTGGACTTTATCCGATATAGGAACAGCCACCCCGTTTTCTATTTTCTTTTCCCTTTGATCGTGTAACTTTTGCAAGCTAAACTCTCGCGCTTGGACATCTGATAATAAGGGGCCATCAGTAGAACCCTCGATACAATATGGTCCTTGTAAAACATCATTACCTATAATAGAATCTTGCTTAAAGATGGCAGCAGTTACTACTGGCTTGTCAGGATCAGTTGGAGTTTTGCCAATGAGAGGTTCTTGGGAATTATCATGTATTATTGTATCTACAACTTCGTCTTTAGAGGTGTCATAACCTGTATAAATTGGATATCCGAAAGGACCTTGGTCGTATCCCATTTGGCTGCTATAGGAGTAACTCACGTTATGAGATCCAATCGAAGACATACTTAGATCTGAAATAGATAGGCCAGTACTAGATAATGCAAGTGCCTGTCTCTCAAATTTGCCACTACTTCGTTCACTGTCTTCTTCTATGATGATTTTTCTTTCTAAATCTTCTGGCACCCTGTGGATCAGAGCTTGGTTAGTAGATATCTGAGGGTCATGGAGTGGAGAACTCGGCAGTGTTTTGTTTGATCTGTACGCTGTTGATTGTTGCACTTCTACAACAAATATACCGTCATTGTCTGGTGAATATTTCATTTTTGTTTCCCGACCGTTTTTTGTTATGTCCTGGAATATTAAAAAAGTATTGTTTTTATATTATCTATATATTAATGATAATTAATTACTTTATTATGACATCTTTACATATTAATTAAAAAAACATTATCTACCAGTCCAAACACCAATCTGTTTTTTTTTTAAATACAGTTAAATCAAAACATTAATTAGTAAAACACGAATTATTTATTACATTAAGTATTTATTCGTATTGATTTAGGTAAATAAATTTAACATGATGTTTACCTCGAGTTCTTTAAACTCGTAACACTAACAAGAGGTGAACATTAATGGCATCATGACAGTCCTTAAAATGCCATTACAATTTTATAATGTAATTCACATTATGCTGAGGAAGTAAGTAGCTATATAATCCTAATTTAAGCATTTCAAAAGCGTAAATGTTGAATTTCCCTTTTGCTCTTCCGACTATTGCATTCCAAGCTGGTAATAGTTTATCACTCATTTGGAATTATTACATCATCTTTACTAAGTAGAATAAAAAAATCGGTCAAGTGCGAGTCGGACTCGCACACGAAAGGTTCGGTACCATAATCGTTTTTTTTTAATTTGCATGGCAGCCTTTTTGAAATCCGCCATCTTGGTTTTTTATTATTTGTTGTTATAGCGGCAATAGAAATAAATACACACTCTGTAAAATTTCAACTCTCTACCTATACGGTTCATGAGATACAGTAGTCTGACAGACGGACTGACAACGGAGGTTTAGTAATAAGGTTCCATTGGTACTCCTAGGGTACGGAACCCTAAAAAAATTACATTATAATGTGTTTGTAAAAGCCTATTTTAAAATGTTTTTTTTTATTATTTTTTGTTATTATTTCTTACATTTCTTTCTTCTGTTTCCACAATGAGATGATTATTTTTCAATGTCATCGTGAAAATAGAGCCGTTGGCTGGTGGTGTGTCGCCGTCTGTCGCGCCCTCATCTGGAGATTTGAGCTGAAACAATTAATTGTAACTGTTATTGACAAGGCTATCACAGTTTCTTAATAGTTATTAAATTATTTATAAGTAGTGCTCTGCCCACCCCTAATTTAATTTACCCTGGCTAATACCTAGAACGATTTTAAATATGTTCTATTATTATAGTGATGTGGCTAAATAAAAAACAGCCTACTCACGTATCGATTATTTTGAAAAATATTGGAATATTTAATATATAGCTTATCCTTATGAGAACGCAATATATACGAAAATTTCGTTCGCAAGCAAACAATATCGATTTTTGTAATAAACAAAGAAATCACAAACAACGAATCAAATCAACAATTAACATTCGAATGCTATAATTTGCAAAAATTTATAACTAAAGCCTTTCAAATTATATTTAGAAGAAATCTTTTGAGTTGTGAGTACTTAAATATATTACAAAGAGCATAAATTTTTTTTTACATGTTAAACCCTTTTAGACCGTTCTAAAATTATTGACATCACTCGCAAGGTATGTTATCTAAAAATGTTTTATGTATTCATAAACAGATTGAGAGTGTGATTCTTTATTTAAGAGGGAATCTTATTTAACTTTTTGCAGGTAAAGGGCAGTCACATTGATTTTTTTTTGATAAAACACAGTCAGTATTATTTAGTTTTGGGTTGAGTTTTTTTAGAGCATTAACACAGCACCATCATGTAGATACTATCTACCATAGTAAGCTACAAAGCTTGTGTTATGAATACCAGATAATTGATACACTACACATATATAACTTTAAATACATACATATTATAAATATAAACACCCATGACTGGAGTACAAATACTGGTGCTCATCACACAAACGAATGCCCCCAGCAAAACTTGAATCCGCGACCGCTGGCACAGCAAGTACGGTCACTACGAACTGTGCCAAACGTGTCGTAATTCTTAAAAATATCTAGTCAGAAAATGTTATATAGTCATAATTCTTAAAACTATTGATTTGTTAATAATATTATCTTACAATATTATAGAGATGTAAAATTCGATCATAGTTTGTATACCTAATAATAACTACGAAAAAATTCAAAACATCTTTCCGCGAAAACCTTTTACATATCCCTGATTGTTTATCGATATCGGTAATTTTTTATCGATTTATGAACGAAGATAGAAACTATCATAATATTTATTGGCAGACAATATAAAATTGGATTAAAAATGTTGGAGTTTTTTAACATTTATTGACTTAGGTCTCTTAGGATTTGATTAGAATCTTGTTAGCTGTTTGGACGTAAGTTTTATTAAACATTTGTAATACTTGTAGGACGAATAAAAATATTGATTTTAACTACAATATTATATAGCTTTTTTGTTTTAGTAAGTTTTATTTTATAAATATCTGATATATTGCTCGTACATATAAAGTGAGATTTTACCAAAGATATGATTGTACTTTGTTTGAAAATTTCATATCTTCCATTATTAGTCATTCTCGGTCCACACGAGCAAAGCCACGTGTTTAAATAGTTTTCATAAATTTTCAAGCAAAAACGTGAATAAATTCTCTAGCACTGAAGAAGTAAACATAGATGCTAGTTAATACTTTACTTAGATTTACGCGAATTTTATTTATTTATTTAAAAAAAAGAATAAAAAATTTGACAACGTCAATACAAAATTTATTGTGTAATCGAAATTTATTTTAAAATATACCCAAAAATAACATTAATAATTGAATTAATAGTATAAAAAATGTTTTAAAACACAACAAAATCGAAAGTGCATAATATTTAACACCATTCAGACAAAGAAAGACAATAGCATTCCCAAGGAGGGTTGACGTCAGGCAGGCGGCCGGTCGTAAAACTTTTGCCAAATCCTATCAGCAGTACACTGAAGATGTACTGCGCCGACCCCAAGTGATTTGGGAAATGGGCAGGGAGAAGAAGAAGAAGAAGATTTATTATAAATGCTTACTAACTAAATTTACATAAAACATGTATTTAATATTATAATGTTACGCTATTTGTATATACATTTAATTTAAATGTATGCACAGCTTTTTATAGAAGTATTCCTTTAAAATCATATGTGGTTACGAGTATATAAGGAACCATTTCAGTTGTACAATAAACAAAAGAAGAAAAAAAAAAGAAAAAAATCTAATCTAAATATTTAAATACAGTTTCTTTTTAAATAAATTTAAACTATCAGAAAAAATGTCTATATCACATAGCTGAAATATAAAATTATATAATTTAAAGCTTCGTAGGAGTGGTGAATTAGAACCGTATCTATTTTTTCGTTCCCACATGTAGTGGTTTATAGTTAATAGCTCTCGCTGCAGATCTTGGTGTTTGTATATTTACTAGCGATATTAGTGACGGACATTCTATGTAATTATTTACTAATTTAAAAATAAAAAATGGGTCGTAAAAAGTCGCATCTGTGGCGTAAAGTTTTCAAGTTAAAGTGTTCAAGTTTTTCTTCGTATCTAGTAGGTATCTATAAAATCGAATATTTGACATTTTAAATAAAACTATCTTTTCGGATTTTTTCGCGGATTTATTTTTATTTTTGGTTCCCGACGTTGGTTGGACCCCACAGGGGTGGGTAGGGTGCATGTAACAACTATATAATACCTTTGAGATATCTAACACCTTAGTCTCTCCCGTGACCATGATTGCTGTAAAGGATTCGAAACGTCGAGAACCAAAAATCAAAATAAAAATAAATCCGTGAAAAAATCCGAAAAGATAGTTTTATTTAAACATACTTATTTATAAAAATCATATATACCTAACGTTGATAAAAAACTGATATACGAGTATACATATAGTTATCTCAATCCAGACTAATTTAATAAATCCGTAGTTTGTCTGTTTGTCTACTTGCTTTTCATGGCTTGAAACATTTGACAGGTTAAATCGTCTTTGGTAAACATTAGTATGAAATTGAAGAAGATATAAGATATATCCTTTTTCAAAAATTATTTTATTTTTAAGGGTGGAAAACTACCCTTAAGAAACATCTCGCATGAAAATAACAAAATACGAGATAAAACGAAGGCGAAGGGTAAGTATTTAAAGCAAATTAATTACTAAAATCAGAAGAACATTAAGTTTTGCAGTAATTAAGGCCGCCAAATCTGATTACATCAAGGAATAGTTGATCTTTTGAATTTTAAAAAAGCAATTTTAAACAAAATATGAGATAAATTACATGCGACCTTCAAAATTCCACCTTGTGTTTAATTATTTTATTTCCTACCTTTAATTTAATTTATTACAAAATTTTATTTAAAAAATATATATTTTAAGATAATTTACCTACTATATATTCATGTACAATGTACATATATTGTATGTATAATTTGTACTATGCTAAGTTATCTTTTGAATACGCATGATCAGATCGAAATCAAAGCTATCTAGGCGAAATATATTACATTGTACGAATGTGTGCACAAACATTACATTCTTTCATGAACGTCTTATTTGTATATCTTATTCTATCGTATTGAAAATAATCCTAGGCGGGAAAGAGTTTAGGCACAGAATCTACAGTAAAACCGCCAGCTTCCTTCTTTCGCTAATCCTGGGACTCAAACTCAAGTCCTCATGATCTGCAGCCCTACACGCTAACCACTACACTAGACCAAAGAAGCATAATATTTTTTTTTATAACTGACTTTTCTAACTACATAGAAGTTTGTGGGTATATAGCAAACGTTCGTCTCGTCCAAATTAAGAAATCATAGCCTTTACAGCACCTTTCAACATGCAGAAACTAGCTAATAAATACATATTGTATAAAAACATAATATGTATACATATATTAGATGTATAAACTATATCTTATAAACTAATGTATAGGAATATAAACATAGGTTCCTTAAAATCCATTTGCCTAAAAAATTTACTGTATATTGACTTCAATAAGAAAAAACACATACTTAAATATTTTATTCAAATCATTAAATTATAAATACAAGAAACAAACAAACGATAAAACATCAATCTACCGATTACCAAACCACTAATAATAGAAGTATGCATCATCAAAGAACATATTATTGTTAGTTACCAAAGGCACCTTCGAGCTAGGGTAGCTGGGTCGATGCCCGGTCGACGCCCGCATTCGGCCATCTTTGCTCTGCCTCTCGATCGCATTGCACTTTTTAGATGCACCTACTCTTGCCATACTATCTAACGACCGATGAGAGGAAACTGTGGACTCGACTGTTAGGTTTATTTCGTCATGCCCATAAATTGCTTAATATGGAGGGCAAGTCGAAGGTTATAGTTACAATTACAGTTAGAGACAATTATTTACATTGTTCATACATTTATATTCTCAAATGTAGGGAACTACACTTCTTGGGAAAGAAAAACTGATCCAACTTCTTTTGACACATTTTCTTGTGTTAATAGAATTACTAAGACAGATATTTTGACGTGATTTATATACCTCCCTCGGTTGAATTCTGATGTTCAAACAGTGTCACATAATTTGGATTTTGACACTTTTTTCCTGAGGCTACGAGTATATTTTATATAAAGTTAATATTCGATTAACTATAAAAGTAACTAAATAAATATGGCACATATTACCATAAGTGTGCTCTATAAGAAATAAAACGATGTAATGTTTATAACATAAGCTATACAATGTACATGCATATACATATATATGTATACTGTATATACGTATGTTCGAGTTCCAATTACATCTAAATATTCAATTTCTACTATTTGCAAAAAACTGTTTTATATAAAAATTACTATACATTTTGCTTTACTCTAAATATTATAGGCTTAGCCTACTCCACGCCACTTATGTTCTACCCGAATCGGCACAGTACATTGCACTACCAAGCCCGTCTGACTAGATTTTTGGCAGCCCGCCCCCCGCGACCCGCCGCCGAATTCTTTTATGAGTTTTTGACGACTTAGGTTTTTTTTGTCTTAACTTACGCCCATACGCCTTGATATATCTATATTATTAACAAAATGGCAACT